ATTGCTTAGGAGATGACATTTCAGCTTGTGCTTGAACGAATATAGTGAGGTTAATTCTGTGAATTCAATGGGGAGGTCATTCCAAAGTTTAGGGCCCGTAAAAGTGATATTTTTTTGAGCAAACAAAGTTCGTGTAAGGGGAAGGTGAAATAGGTTACGTTGGCGAGTGGAATAAGAATGGATTGTATTATTTCGTACGAAGAGTGCACAAATTACAGCAGGTAACTCATTTATAGTTAATTGATACATAAACACTCCTACGCTGTACACATACACATCACCAATTCGGAGAACTTTATTATTAAAAAACAGTTGACTAGTATGGGAAAGGAATCCCGCATGATTTATGTTTCTTATTGCCCGTTTTTGAATAATGAGAAGTTTTTCAAGTTGGGCTTTGGTCCCGTTTCCCCAGGCAAGAATACCGTAGTTAAGGTAAGGTAAAATTAAGGTGTTATACAGAGATAACAAAAAATGGGTTGGGAACTCGTGTTTTAGTTTATTTAAAATACCTGTGTTTCTAGAAATCAGTTTGCACAAATAGTTAACGTGTATCTTCCATGATAAATCACTGTCAATGTAGATACCAAGAAATTTAGTGGATTCGGCCTGGTTTAAATTTGTATTGTCTATTAAAATATTACCGGGTAGGGATTTTATACAATTGCTAAACAGCATAAAGTGGGTTTTACTGACATTTAATGATAGTTTGTTTGCATTTATCCATGCTTGTATCCGCTTAAGTTCACTATTAACGGTCCTCAGGAGATATTGAGGGTCACGATGTGAATAAAAAATATTAGTGTCGTCTGCAAAGAGAATAAAAGACATTATTTCAGACGAATTTCTGAAGTCATTGATATATATTACAAATAATAATGGACCCAATAATGAACCTTGTGGGACACCACATGATACTGATCTTTGATAAGAATCGTGACCATTAATACTAACATACTGTTTTCTGTCTGTGAGATAATTCCTGAACCACTCCAAGGCCTTTCCTCGGATCCCATAATGGGATAACTTGTGCAGTAGTATATCATGATTAATAGTGTCAAAGGCCTTGGAGAAGTCCAGGAAAATACCCACAGTATGGGCCATATCGTCGATAGCATGAGCTACTTTATCTAAAAACCTGAGTAATGCATGGGTTGTAGAGTGTTTCTGCCTAAACCCAAATTGGGTATCAGACAGAATATCAAAATCAATAAGAAACTGCATTGTTCGAGAGTACATCAATTTTTCAAGTATTTTGGAAAAAGACGTGATGCCACCCGTGATGCCACCCGTGATGCCACCCCTTCCCCCTTATTATCCATGTCTACCAAAGTTCTCTACCAAAGTTGCCCTGCCGTGGTTAAGCCGGTTTAAACTTGACTCGAGAAACATTGTAAATGCCTTTTAGTGTTTGCACATGGCCTAGCGCGTGTGTGTGTGGGGGGGGGGGGGGTAGAAAATGGGCTCATGTTGGGGTTGCTAGGGGTGGGGGAAGATGATGGGTCTACAATTAATGTGCGAGGACTGTAAACCTTACGTCTGCCTGGCATGACAGTGACTGAACCACAGGGTCATTCACTGTCATGGGCATGGTGGCTCAGTGGTAAGAGCGCCCGCCTCATGAACGGGAGGTCGTGGGTTCGAACCCCGGCCAGCCGAGTCATACCAAAGACTTGTAACGATGGGACCTTCTGCCTTCTAGCTAGGCGCTCAGCATATTAGATTGGTATTATGGTATGCAGGGCCCGCTGGAAGAGCAGTTTCATAACTGAAGTGGCTACCCTGGGTAGATAAAACGCTATTATTATTATTATTATTATGTCAAGATTACAAGATTGCAAACGCACGTTCAAGTGGAAGGTATAATTTAAACGACTTTTTTCTCATATTTGGAGAAATAAATCTGGGTGAACTGGCCAATACAGGAAGAACGGCGACAATAATACTGGCAGCCTTGTATGTACATTCAGTACCCAATTATTTATAGCATTCATACCAAGTTTTGTATGTTTTTAATTATGTGAAAAATTCATTTGTCCCGAATATTTCTTTCTTGATTATGAGGCATATAAAAGTTTACATCTACAATTATTGAACAAATACCCCATTTCAACCAGTCCACCTTTCATTCTTGTGTTACGAAAAACACCACCCCCAAAAACATCAAACTTACAAGGGATGTGAATAATTAAGTTTTAACTGTATCTCCTTAAATTGTGCATGCGCCTGGGAATATAGGCCTACTTTAATTTATTCACAAGAAATATTGGCGTGAATGTATAAACGTGGCTTATAGGCCTGAATGCCGTTGAAACTACCGAGCAACTACAACATCATGAAGAATATGTGGTTGGCAGCAATTAATGAATATTATCCTGTTTCTTTTTTTTTCTCTCAAAACGAATGCCTTTCCAAATAGCAACGTCGATGTCGACAAAATAGTTAAACTGCTCTTATCATGCAGAATTGTAGGCCTAATCTGAAGCGGGGGAGGGCAAAATAGTTGCCAGCTGAAAACATTATTTTCAGCAATCTGAATCGCTTTTTCTGTTGTTGCAGTCACAGCTTGGTAATTGTTCAAACCTGGGTGTTTTTGAAGCATGACCGATATGGCTTAACCCACTCGCCCACGTCTGTTCTGGTCAATGGTTCTAAAATCCAAAATCAGTTTCTCTTTTGTCTGCGCCAGCCAGTTGGTTTGTTGCTCTCCATTTGAGAAGGAATTCAGATTACGAAACGAGTAAACAATCATTATGATTATTTGAGTTATTTTGACGGAATTTATTCAAGCGCAAAGCAAACAGAGACTTGATCACAAATGTGTTATATTTTATTGCCAAGGCCTGAATTGGTGAACTTGAGTAAGAGTGGAGAACAACTTCATACCATGCCTGCTCTGTTAAAACTTACAACATAAATAAGATGCATTACATTTATTCATTGATAAGGGTACTGATTTCCGTAGTATCATATCTGATTGATACTTCTTTTTTTTTTTAATAGTTTTTTTTTTTATTGATTCCAAACAATAAAAATAAATTTTTAGAAATAAGGTACATTTTTTTTCCTTGACATAATTCAAAACATTTACATTACATACATTGTACAATTGATGAAAACAAAAATGAAATCAGTTGTATCATAAAACAAATAAACCCATCCAACCAAACACACTACTACTACTACTACCCCCCCCCCCCTCCCCATCATGCGACACACACTCCACCCGACCACACTTCCACCACACACTGTTCCTAGCCCCCTCAGAATACTCCCAAATTGGAGCGACAGACAAAACCGAAACAATCTATTTAAAACATTTAAAACAAAATCATTTAAACGAGGCTACAATAGTCCAGTGTAAAAAAGTTCATGAAAACTTTACTTGTTCCCACTTCTGTAAATGTAAGGCCAATTTACCTGCCCTCCCTGCAATATTCTTTTCTTCTTCCCTAAATTCTAACAGTTCTTTTTGAAACTCCCCCAAAGACAATATCACGGACTTTCCCCTGCATCTATATATCCAATATTTCAATGCAAAAATAATTGTATTAAACATTTTTATTCGTGGGGAGTTACCAGACAATGAATATTTATCCAGTCGATAGACCTTAATTCCCTTAGCTCAAACTTGGCTATTACATTTTGCCATAATATTTGAACATGTACACACTCCCAGAACAAGTGTAAATATGTTTCTATCTTTCGCTTACAAAATGAGCACAAGTTATCTACAACAAAGCCGAATCTGAATAAATGTTCTCTAGTATATATTGCTCTATGAAGCAGTTTTACACGTCTGTAAAAACCCAACACACACACACATCCCGCCCCCTCCCCCCCCCTCTCTCTCTCTCTCTCTATTCATCTTTCTCTCTATCTCTGTCTCTACATCTCTATCTCTTTCCCATATACTCTGTCTTCTGTTTTTGCCCGTCCCTCTCTTGTGATAATGGCCCGATGCCCCCTTTTTTCTGCCCCACCTCCTCCCCCACCCCTTCATCAGATCATGAACCTAAGTATTAGGTTCATGATCTGATATTGAAGTTAAAGGGTAATATCATGAAATTAGGTTCATGGTAATATACAAGGATCAAGTGTCAATATCGCTACCCGCATTTTAGCACGGACAATTTACAATACTATCTAACGTACCCACGCAATAGGGCTCAAATAACAAATAACTTAAATGAAAAAGCAAGAGCAAATAAGGTCATAATAGATTTAATGACGGGTGAACTATTCCCTAAAGTGCTGACTTTGGCCGCCATGTCAACTTTACATATTTTAGTAATTTTTTGTTCGTTTTAGGGTTGACCGCCTACGCGCTTAGAGTCATGTGAGAATATAAGCTCTCTCTCACTCTCTCTCTCTCTCTCTCTCTCTCTCTCTCTCTCTCTGTTTGTTGTTCGTTTCCTGTGGTGAAATCGTCCTCCAATTGCGACATCATGAAAGTGACTTTGTAAACATTCATTAGCGGATCCATATAGGAAGGGGGAGGGCTACGGGCATATGCCCCTCCCCCCCCCCCCCCGGCAGCACTAAATGTGTGATATCTTTTGAGACTTTTGTACATATTTTGCTTGAATCATGATCGATGAAAATTGAATTTGAATTTGAGTCCGATTGTAGTATAGATATACAACATGCCCCCTCAAATTTTGACCCCCCCCCCCTCACCCACCAGAAGAAAACACTGGATTTTCCACTGACCATGGGTGTGATAAATTCCAATCATTACTTAGTCATTGACAGATAGTTTAAATGACACTTTTAAAATCGCAATGGCAGAAAGTTTTAGCGACACATTTAAAAGCGCAATGGTTCAATCGCAATGGTTTAACAAGGCAGACGAGAACGTTATTGCTAATATTTGAACCCCACCCCTAACAACCGTCTTATTCTTTAGAACAAACAAAAAATCCAATAACATACCCGTTGGTAATTAATCGTATTGAAAGAGACACAAGTAATACAGATGGTCACGTGAGGCATTATTTTGTTTCCTTTCAAATTTTATTACAAAAACACGAACAAAAAATTGTTTCGTTTAGTCAGATACAAACATATCTACATACACATGGACAAATTATTGTGACAGTTGACATTGTATGATACATTTATTATTTGAAATCTTCAATTGTGTATGTATTGTTTTGAGAAGAAAAAAAAGGGAATTTACAATAATATAAAAAGACACATTGATATTTTGAGGTGTCTAAAATCATATGGAAAATTGCCCATTGCAAAAGAAAAACTGTGAAAAGAAACGTAATGCTCCAACAACGAAACATCGCTGACTTGTAAATTCGACCAGAACGTCTTGTTCTGACTATGAAAAAAAACGGACTTTGATTTACATGTGTCTCATAAGTCCATGACTTACATGTATATATTTACGTTCAACATTTACAAATAATGTTGAGCTGAGTAGCATATTTCCATTATATCAAACACAGGTGGCAAGAATAGATTCATCACATATTTTCATGTTTGTGGTATTCATTCAATTTAAAGGAACGGAATAAGATTCCTCGGATAACGATGACACTTTTTGTTTCATTTTCCTGCTACTATTATACGAACAGGAAAAGAAAAAGTGGAGGGGGAGATGTGAAGATTTCTGGATAATTATATCGCTGGCAATAATGCCATTTTTAATCATTTGTTTATTATTTGAAAACAAATTGACAAATCAAAATGATGTTTTTTATGACTTTGAACACTATCAGAAAATACAAATGAAATGCAAACATGTAAAAGAATCAAATGTTTACCCCCATCCTCCAAGAAAACAAGTAAAAGCAATGCGAATGGAGATACTAATACTGGCAAGTAAAAACATGACAGATAAATTCTTTATGAAACCAGGCAAACAGGCACTCAGAGATTATGTTTTTCTAGGTAAAACATTTGCATGTTTATAGTCCAGGACCCCATTTCACAAAACTTGTCATCAGTGATAAATGACAAGTTTTGTTATTAGCCAGTGAAATCCTTGCTTCTGATTGGTTATCAGCAGATTTGTCACTGATTTCTGTCGTTTGTCATTGAAAAAAAGCTTTGTGAAACGGCTTCCAGGGCAGCGTTTCACGAAAGTGTCACAAGTCCAAGTTCGCCGACAACCCCTTAAAACGCGTGTATCAAATTTAACACGCGCTTCAAAGAGATGTCGGTAAAGTAGTACTTGTGACGGTTTTGTGAAACGATGCCAAGTATAATATGCATGATAACGAGACAATCAAGATTATACTTTTGCATAAAATATAAAATATACAAATAGGTCATGAAACATGATATTACTACATATATTGCATATTATATGATCTCGACTTGTTGAAAAATACATCGCCTATTATTGTTCCAATGTATATTTGCGCATGATTGAGATGTGTTTATTCCTTTAATCTTTTGAGCTATTATGTAATGATCGCCATTTGAAAGTAATCGTCCTTGCATTCCAAAATGTACAGGTAGAACTGAGATCCATGTTATAAACATTTGCTATTAATCACAACTTATTTGCGATTAATATCAATTATCAACTCTTCATATGACAGGGCCCTGGGAGGCGTTTCACAAAACTTGTCATCAGTGACAAATGACAGTTTTGTTATAAGCTACTGAAATCTTTGCTTCTGATTGGTTATCAACAGATTTGTCACTGATTTTTGTCATTTGTCATTGAAAAAAAAGGCTTTGTGAAACGGGTCCCTGGTCAACGAATTGTCACTGTTATTTGTTCATTCAATATTATCAAATCAGTTACATTGACGGTTTATTTTTAGTCTTATACCAGTGTAAGTAAATATTGGTTGATTTATAGGAGAAACTCCATGATCACTGTTCAGTACATGCAGTCCACTTTCTTCCTACTCGTTCACTGTACAGCCGACTGCACGAAGCTTAGCATTGATAGCAACAATATATTTCCAACCATTTATCTTAGAGATTGTAGTTTGTACATGTACGAGTTTATAGAAATGCAATCCATCAGCGTTTTGTTTTATCTCTCGAGATCCAATGTAAGCAGCTATGCTTCAGGATTGTGACTAGGTAACTGTGAATGTTTTATTATTATTTAAAAACCACATCACAGTACAGTCCAACAGTTCAGTCAGTGTCTTGAACAGGCAATCACCTCCGTCTTTAGGATATATATTGTAGTAAGGCTTAGTAAGACTCAAATCCATCGAATTTCTTGAACGGGTTTAGTAGTATGGATGTTATCCAGGCAACACCTATCACATCTCAAGTTCTCTCGGTTGCTTTCACACCAATTGGTGTTCTCTCCACTTTCAGGTAACACCACTGTGCTGTCTCACGTCAAGAGAGGGCAGTCTACCATAAAATCATCCATAGCCATCAAGTCATCGTGACCGGGTTGCAGGGCCATACCTGCTGCGTTGTATTTTCTTCTCAGTCGCTTACACAGCTGTGAGATGCTTTCTCGTGATGTCTTCCAGATCACCTCAAACTCGACGGGACTGCACCGGGACCCGTATTTCTGGAAGAGGAGGTCTGAAGGAACGGACGTGTGTGAGAAATAAAAAAGAGAAAGAGAGAGAGAGAGAGAGGAGAGTTATAACATTGGTTTATTAATGTCAGGGCCCCATTTTACAAAACTTGTCTTCAGTGATAAGTGACCGTTTTTGTTATAAGCTAGTGAAATTCTTGCTTCTGATTGGTTATCAGCCGATTTGTCTCTGATTTTTGTCAATTTCAGGGCCCAATTTTAATGACAAGTTTCAGTTTTTGTTATAAGCTAGTGAAATCCTTGCTACTGATTGGTTATCAGCCGATTTGTCACTGTTTTTTTTTGGTCAATTGTCATTGAAAAAAGATGCTGTGAAACGGGTCCCAGGTCTATCAAAGGGTGGTAAAAACTTCCTATCATTCAGGATGATGACCACAAAAAGAAAATTCAAGAAGCCCAACGCTATAATTTCAAAGACAAAGGTATCATAGAGTTATTGCTTTCAAAGTCTCTCTCCCATTGACAAATGTACAATGCTTCATTTTAAATGATGTATTGCTAAGTAGGAAGCAACACGTATGTAACCATTATCATTTGAAAGATAACCTGATTTGTCAATTTTCCCAGAATTTCGACATGGTTAGCTGTCATATTTTGAAATGGGCATAGTAACAATCACCTACAAATCCAAAATGGTTTGATCTCCTTCCTGAAATTTATTTTGTAGACATAATTATTGTTTACAAGCAAACAAACACTTTTGTATACTAGACATTTATTGCCAAACTTAAAATAAAAATGTACATTATTCAACAATTGGGAAAGAAGTGATATGCACATTATTCCAAACTCACGTTTTATCTTTCTCAAGCCAGCAAAGTCAAGCGGGTTCTTGCTGTTACGCCCAGTGACCGAGGATCGGATCAGAATCTTAGTCCCGAAGATACAGTAGCGGGCGAGAGCGATAGCCAACCGGGGAGCTCCGGCATAGGGCGTCATCTCTTCCCACCTAGAGTCTTGCATCACCATCTGTATACGAACTGCATGGGTGGAATGGAAGATGGAAAAATAAAATTACCAAATTACCAAATTTGTTTTGGAAATGAAGATCGTCATATTGAGAGAGAGAGAGAGAGAGAGAGAGATGGATGCCACTTAAACTGTATAAGCCATTAAGCTCTTGATTGCAAAGACTTTCAAAAAAATCAACCCCATGACAATAATTTTGATAGCCTTTTCCATCACCTATTGAAATGAAGTGTTAGTAATCCGAACGTGATTTTTATACCAAGGAGTTTTTTAATTTTATTTTGCCTTGATTTCTGGCAGTCTCTGCGATCTGGTTTTTATTTTGAACGTTAAGGATTGTTTTACCCTTCAATGCGTATAATCATTGAGATCCGACATTATTCACTTCGGCATTTTGGGGCTTATTCCGTTACGGTTAATGATTAGCTCATGAATGGGTCCGGAGATGAAGTTAGGACTTTTACAAGTGCGTGAGGTTGACCGGAATCGCGGAAACATTTGTCGTTAGAGCAAAATAATCAAGGCCTACAATGATTGCATGTAATAATCATCCCCGTTCTGTCTTTGGACATCTAATTACATTATAGCTTTCTTTCTCCTCCCTCTTCTTCTTCTTAAAGCGAGACTGCACAACTTGTACCTGCTTGCGCCCTCTATATAGCAGACAATGCCTAAGCGGTACCCGTTGGTCCCCCATGATCCCCTTCTTCTTATGTTATTTGAGAGCTGATTTTATAAGATAACCACCTGTCAGTGACCACGCAGGGAGGTCTTATCCCTCATGGCCAAACTAGTGCACACAGGATTTAAAGTGTTCTATTTAGTTACTGATGTTGTACTTTAAAAAATGATTCTTACCTTCTGTTTGTGACTGATTGACACCTCGCATGTCTCCAAACTCGGACAGGTTGTCAGGAAAGCGGCCCTCCTCTGCCTTATCATCGAGCATGATGATCCCATCATCTTCCATCGGTCTCTCTAGCTCCTGTCTCCCTTCAGCTCCAGCTAGATGCGTTGCTCCAGCCCTGAAGCCTACTCTCGCGTCTCCACGTCGAGCTCCACCCTCTTTGCCTCCTGCGTGTCGCCTCTCTGCTGCGAGATGTCTCCCTCCGTCTCTGTCCCTTAAACTTGGGGCAACGGCCCCACGGGAAGTAGATCCTGCCGAGCTCCCGCCGCTTACCACGCGCTTTCTCCCGCTTCTTTCTCCAGTCTCTCCTCCTGTTCCTCCTCCTCCTCCTCCTCCGCCGTTTTCAGACGACCTATCTCTACCTCTACCCCCTTCTCCCGCATCACCTTCAGCATCTCCACCACCGCTCCGGTCGTCACCGGCCCCTCCTGGTCCAGCCCCACTATCTTCCTGGAGACCCGAGTCCACCTCACTGCCCGCTCCACCGGGATCCGAAGAGACACTCTGCATCTCGGCTGCACCCATGAAGGGGAGATGCTCCAGGATAAGCTGGAGCTGGCCCTCGATGACTACCATGCGATTGGAGATGTCTTCCATCTATATATTAAAAAAAATATAAAGACAAAAATGAAAAAGATAGATTTAACAAATGCAGAGTTATCCCTAGAATGTGAAAATATTGACTTCACTGGAGGAGCGTGTACCTTTGAATGATTTTTTGATAACAAAATATGGCGCTATAAACATATGTGAATCTGTAATCAGTGTGCCTTTCATAATATAGAACCATTTTTGATCAGTTCTGAAATTCTAGTTTTCAACAATTCCAGCATATTACGTTCACATCGTCACAAGTGAATATATTCATGTAACAAAAAGAAGAAATACTTTTGAATTGTAATTCAAAGATGCAGGGACTTTTATTTTGTTTATTTTCTTGATTAATGAGTTTAGAAACATGGGCTTAGTATCCTCAACTTTCTCTGGTATTATGTATCAAGTAAGCACTTGAATATGCCTATTTTTCAAAACTTGCTTTAAAGATCAACATTGTCCTCTCTTCCAACGGGTTCTAATTATTCATAGATTCAAGATCTTTTTATTTTCCTACCCATTTTTCAGTTCCACTAGTTTCTGTTGCGGGTTCAATCTGTCTTTGGCTGCGGTTAGTCGAGAAGATCCTCTCCGCGAACTCGCTGTAAGACTCCGGAGGATCAATCTCTAACTCTGGAGAAATCTCATCACCACTGAAGTGATCCGGGCTATGCGGTGACGTTCTCTCGTGTGCTTCGTTGAACCTCATGTGCCTTGCGTGCCTCTCCTCCTGGTCCCCGTGGCATCTGCCCCTGCCCCTGCCTCTTCCTCCTCCTCGACCGAACATGTGCATCCCCCGCATGGCCTTACCCATGGCGTGGTGCATGCGAACCATCTTCTGGTACTTGTGTAGCGGGACGCCGTGCGGGAACCCGGGGGACATCCTGTGCATCCGTCTGGGCATACTCGATGCCATGGCCTGTCGCATCCCTATCATGTTCCGCTGGAACTTGCTCATGAAGGGTTGCTTTACGCCGCCTCTGCCTGCGGATAAGGGCAGGCGACGTTGCCCGACGTGGAAGGCCGCTCCCATCTCCGGTGTGATGCCATGCGCGAGGCGACTCGCCATCGCTGCCGCGTTGCACATCTGTGACCTGTGTAAGCTGAGTGGGAAGTGGCTCATCCTCGCTGCGGCCATAGCGGCGGCGGTTGCTGATGACGTCATTGGCGATCTACGGTTTCTCTCCATCCCACCGCTGCCACCAGAACTTCCGCTTTGTGACGTCAGAGTACTGCTGCTCCGACCAGACCTCGCCATGTCTTCGGGATTCTTCGAGAAGCCATGCGAGGAGTGCGTGGTACGAGAACCAGCGCTGTGGGCACTATGGGTGCTATGAACAGAACCAACCGAGGACCTTCCGAGAGACGACGGTCTCTTCGGGTTGACAACGGTCTCGGGATCCGAGTCGAACTCCTCATCCGAGCCCATCATCTGACCGCGTGGATGCGACAGGCGACGTCGTGTCATCGCCCTCGCCTCCAGAATAGCTGCCTCGTCATCGTTGTCCTGTGTTCTCTCCATCCAGGACGAAACCGCTGGAGGAATCCTGTCTCTCCCTCTAGGGCCACTCCTGCGGATCACCAGGTCTTCTGGCTGTTCCTCGCTTCGTGGTCGTTCTTCATAGCGTCTACCAGATAGCTCTCCTTCATCGACGGTTAACTCATAGTCTTCATCAACCTTGAGCTCGTAGTCGTCGTCGACTATCTCTTTCTTCACCGTCGGCACTGGTCTTTCAGCCGGCGATTGACTCCGAACAGATTCCTGGAAGAAGAAAAAAATGATAAAAAGGAAGAAATCTCAATTACTTCTGTCAATCTTGGTTTACTTGGTAACTTGGCATACATTCATTTCTTTTATGCTTGCCCAACAAAGCAGTATTCGCCATAACCATTGTGTCCAACTCGAACTGGGTTGGGCAAAATCAATGGCTCTGTTTACAGCATACGTTGTGCCCCCTCAACGGTTCAATCCCTCTCTCTCTCTCTCTCTCTCTCTCTCTCTAGCCAGAGGCATCGCTATACTATAATAATGTTACTTTCTTTCTTCAAAAGTTAAAGTAAACTTTCAAATGAAAGTTGTGAATTATCCAGATCACCGGTGGTGACATAAATGAGATTTTACCTTGTGAATTTCAAGGAAATCAGCTTTTAGACAACGATCACAAATGTGTATGTCCTTGTTGTTGTGAAACTTGGCATTACATTCAGTGTACAAATATCATAAGATGTCTAATATACCATATCATCTGAAGCACAATGAAATACAATTATTGAAATATTTTCATCATGACGTCACGACCGCGGAATTCCTTCATTATAGGTTATGTACTTCTTTTAAATATCGATCTCTATCATAATTAGTGTCCTAAGACTATCCCGCCAGAAGACATTGTTATACTACATAATTATCTTTCTATTTTCTTTATGTTTCAAACTCTTCCTTTAAGTATTCATATTACTCACATAGCTGCCATTACACAATGTGAAAATGAAACTAACGGAGGAGGCCCAGAGTTTTCTGGAAACAAATCGTGGATAACTCTGCGTCCAAGATTTTGGAGGTAAGGACTATCAAAGTGCGATGTGGCTTACACAAACCATTATTTTAACTCTAGAATTAAAGAATGGTGAGCATATCCGGGAAATCTTATCCAACTTTGCGTTTCACAATCCCTAGATGATTATGGTTAGCAGCCACTGCCCCGGCACCGGCGTATGTTAACGTCATTAATGATAATGACTGTTGGTGGCAACTATTATCTCCTAAGAATCTAAGATCTACTCCAAACACGAACTATGAAGTTGGATCATTCTTAGGACACTGGAGAAAAAAGTAAAACAAAGTGCTGAACCATAGCTATTTAAGAGAGAAAGTTCCGTCACCGGAAGTTGCTTCTGATTGGTCAGGTATTTCATGAAGCTCCAAAACAGTTCCCTCTCATAAAGATTGAACGTGGGAGGGAAATATTTGGAGCGACATGATTTATCTCGCGTACGCGTAGATGCGCTTGTCACAACTATCTCTCTCAATGCGCTATGGTCTGATCTAACACATTGAAATCAAGTTGTAGCCGAAATAAGTTAGCGCTAAGTTATTTCGTCTTCTTTTCTCTTCAAACAGCCTTGCCCCCAAAAATGTCGACATACAAAAAAACTTTTTTTTTTTAAATCGACATACTTTTAACAGAATTAGAGGTCCTTTATTCAGTTATTTCAAACACAATTGCTATAATGATGTGCATGCCATATCGTATCTGAAACTGATAAATTAAGAGTATAACATACAATAACATGTATACATATTACATAACATACATAAGAATTCAACAGTATGCATTCAATTATATTTAGGTAGTATAATAATCCTTGCGTTATGAACTGGCTATACGGATACATTTCCTGAAAGAATTTATAATTGAGATAGCATAACTGCAGTTATAGAACCGAAAGCTATCCTAATAATTGCACCTAATATTATAACTCATGGTCATGGAGAAGTTGAGGGCGAGATTCAGCACTATGAAAACTAGAATCACAATTACTCATTTCATTCAAGTGCCTTTATACAAGATACAAGATATTTTATTTGGTCTTTGTAAACAAGTTACATAGAAATTTGGTTTCCACTGGCGTTACAGTAATATTCAAGAAAGTACATAATTACAAGAAAAAAGTACATCACGTTTATAGAAATAGATGAAATAAGGAACAAATATACATGCAAAAAGTAATGAAGACACAAAAATGGTCATTGGTACTTCAAATCATGAGTTTCAAAATTAAGCCTTGGTCATTGGTATTTCAAATCATAATAGTTTCAGTATTGATTAATTAATTTCCGACGCAGAAGTTTAACGTTTGACCTTTGAGTTGAATTTATGAACAGAGTCGGGTATATCTGAATCGTGAAAGGCGGGTTGGGGTGCAAATCATTCTTACATGATTATTAAAAGTGGTGAATGTCATAAAACTGATTGATAATGTACAAAACCTTTCTATTAAGACTATATAATTACAGTATGTAGCTGGTTGTCTAACGCAACAGTTTAGGATATAAGTTTCTTTTACAACAAAGCACAGCAAAAAAGAGGGTTGTTAGAGAGTTGATGATTGTCCAAACTTTCTCCATATCGTACCTACTGCAATGCAGAGACCTAGCATGTCACACAATGCCATCTAAAGCGAGGTCCTGGGAAGTATGATGGGACCCTACACTATGTCGGTGCTCCTAAATTTTCACTTGAAATCGACTAAAATTTTCTTTCGTATTCCCCCATCGTCTGATCTCATATTATCCTTGACATTCTAGAGAGTAAATGTGCGGAAAATCTCATCAAAAGTCGTTGACACACAAAAAAGTGATTGCCCTGTCAGTTATCCCAATTCCTATTTTTCTAAAGTTCCACTTTCCATGTGCAATCAGCAATTAAAAAAATGAAACTATACAATCCAAACTCTCGATAATTGCTTATTATTCTTTGTCGTAATGTGAAAGTGAAAAAAGGGAATGAATTTATTTAATATCGAAGAGACACACTAACCTCTATCCAGGCTTCCATAATGGATGCCATTCCTTTGCAGTAAAATATCTTCCAAATATGGAACCATCCAAACCGGGGATATTTTCGAGCTACACCCCCCCCCCCCCCCGTCCCCCCTCTCCCTTAATTCTCAATGTCCCTAATTATAATAATATCCAACATTGCCCGATAGTAGGTTCCTATTATAATGATTTGGTCAATTCTGACAAAAAATTAATAAATATAGGCATTGATTGTTCACGGTTTTTATCGAGGACCCCCTCCCCCCTCGTCAGTTTTACCCCTCATCTGTCTGTCTGTACATTGTATGTCTCTCTCTGTCTCTGTCTCTCTCTCTCTCTCTCTGTCTCTCTATTATTCTCTCTTTCTTTCTCTCTCACTCTCACCCTTTCTCTGGACGTTGATATGCCACTTTCTCTCTCCATCTCTATGACATCCCTCACCGCTCTCTCACATCACTCTTTCTTTCTGCCCCCTCCACCCTACCCCTCTCTCTCTCCATCTCTCTCTCTCTCTCTCTCTCTCTCTCTCTCTCTCTTCATATCTCTCTCCCTCTTTCTCTCTCCTATTTCTCCCATTTTCTCCACTCACCTGTAACCTGCGTTTTAAAAGTTTAATCAGCGTACATGACATATGGCGAACACTGGCAATGTAGCCCCCCCCCCCCTCTCTCTCTATGATAACGTCCCTTCTCCCCCTCCCCTCTCTCATTCACTCTCTCTTTCTTTCCTTTTCTCTTTGTCACACTTTCTCTCTCTCCCTCTCTCTTTCTCTCCACCCGTCTCTTTTTAATTGGGCAGTAAGCACTACAGTCATTGTCTTACCGAGCATTATAAACGAACACTTGTATATACATGTAGTAAAACTACATAAAACTATAACCCGGAAGACGAGAGTCCCCTCAATAACTTCTGAAACTGAAAATCGTTCTCACGACCAATTCGAACAAAGCGAAACGAAAACTACGACCCGAATTCCCACACGAGAGAGACTCATAGAGAGGAGAGATAGAGATACTTTCGTAAACAGAACATTAATAATCTTTCGTTAGGTCTTGGAGTGATACCGCTTAACCGGCCTTAAACTTGGAGTACTTTTTTTAAAGATCAAAAGCGAGAGTCCATTTATTACGCCCCTTTTATCTTGGCGATAGATTCGCTGGCATCATAACGAGATAATATGGTTTCTGTTGTTATACACCACTTGGTAAAACGCGCCAAGAGATGAGAAGAGAGAGAGAGAGAGCACTGTTGTAAAATGATATGATAGCTAGTTTCGCATTCGACGAGGTCTCGCTGGCATTAGATATAAAAGTTATCAATTTGAAAACCGCGAGAGATGTGCTCAACTATTGCCATGCTTCTTCTTTTCTTTCTTCTAAGAGAAATGTAATCTTCGGTGTAAAAACAAGGAAAGTGAATTCAACTTAACAATAAATGCTAACTTTAGAAGATGGTCATACAAATCGCTTAGACGCTGCAAAAACAGGTTTTTTTGTTTTGGGTTATCATTCAAATGGGGTATTTTACATTGAACAGTTAATGTTATTTGCGTTCTTATAGGGATGGTGGAGATGTGGCAAAGGTGGAAATATAAAACAATGTGAGCTGTCTCAGTCTTTTAATCTAACGTAATGTTTGTCCTACCTGCGATTAGTATTGATACTATTGAAATACAATTATTCATAACAGGTGAGCTTTCGTGGGCTATCCTGTTCAAGCTGACTTGATGTTGATCTGTTATTCTTTCATAATATATTGTAATTGTATGTTGGAAGCTTGGCAAATAGAAATCAATCAATCAATCAATCAATCAATCAATAAAGTATCTTGGCACTACCAAGAAACATGTATAACCATTAAATTACGAAAATGGTATATTGTGCATTGAATTAGTAATTCTTAGATGAGCATCCCCTCCTTTACTTTTCATGCTTTTGAAGATAACTCCAAAAGAAAGTTGATTTATCTAAACACTACAAAGGCCTTGAGGAAAAAACGCTGTTTCATTGTAATCATAGCACCTATTTATCATTAATATCTCATGTATACTCATTACGATGGACCACGTGTCTCTAATTCAATCACTCACTAAATACCATGAAAGGAGGCGACTTTCTTTTAATTATCTTTGTGGATAAAATCAAGTCGAAACCAACTCGATTAAATCAGGTTTTCCTGCACTTGACCGCATCTGTAGTAACCTCGGTTAGTCTAGTTCA